TGTGTGTGTGTGTGTGTGTGTGTGTGTGTGTGTGTGTGTGTGTGTGTAGTGTCTGTATGTGTGCCAGAAGAGCTTCACAGCTGACTAAGCTTTGGCTGTTGGAAGATGTAAGCCTTCTGGGGAAAAGTGGAGCAAGCTTGAACTTTGGGTTTACAGAAATTATTCAAATGTGCTGCCCACATAGTCTGTGAGGGAAAGCAGTTTCCAGATTCCCCACTTCTTCTTCAGGCACCTGAGGATGCTATCCTATCTGCAGAGCAGTAGCATGTTGCTGGGAACAGAGAGGGAGGGGTTGGTCTGCTCTTCACCTTGACCCTGTGCTGCTCAGATCTGCCAAGAATCATGGCACTGCAAGGACCACTCTGGCCTCCCAGGGATATTCAAGTTTCCCCAGAATGAAGGAAGGAGTTGCTGAAGGAAGGACTCCAGGAAGGGGCTGCCAGGAACACACCCAGTTGAGAGCTTTTGCTTGATCTTCTGCAAGGAGAGGGGTAAATGGGCAGCAGGGAAGGGAAGGAGCGTTGATAGGAGCCAGATTTGCATCTCAGAACTCACAGCAGCACCGTGAGAGAGGGGCTGTTACTGTTCCCTGTACAGACAGAAAACAAGTCAGAGCTAGAACAGGCCAAGGTCACACAGAGGTCTTGATCAGAGGGTAGCAGAATGGATGTCCCGTCTTAGCAGGAGGCCCCAGATAGTATTGCAACTACTGAGTTGTTTGGAGAGATATGTGCAAGAAAATCGGCATGGTTGAGTTGGGGATACCAAAGAGTTTGGAAGGATGGCTTTGAAAGTACACAGATGTGGAGCAGAAAAACGATACCTCAAGCTTCACATACCACTTCATATGCCTGAATGGGCATCAAGTGCCCACTGCTTACTCATGACCCAGCTGGAGCCCTGCCTGCATTAGACCATCACTCTTGCTTAGCTGACCCTTCTTCCCACTTACCTTACATGCCTTTTTCTGGGACTGTCAAGACTCTGTGTGCCATTCTCTGGGCTCCACATAGATACCCATCTGCAGCCATTGATGTGTTTATGTAGGTTTTTTGTGTGTGTGTGTGTGTGTGTGTGTGTGTTTGTTTTGTTTTGTTTTGTTTTGAAACAAGATCTCACTAAGTAGTCCAGGCTCACTAAGTAGCCTCCAGCTCATTTTCCTCTTGCCTCAGCTTCCCTCCCATTGGGATTACAAGTGTGCCACCACACACAGCTAAGACAATGCCTCTATTTAAATATATACCACTTATTATTGGTACTGGGAATTGAACCTAGGTCATTGTGCCTGTTATGCAAGCACTCTGCCACTGAGTTACACCTCTAGCCCTTTGTATTATTTAGATACCCAGATGTGGACTCCATATGTGGACCAGACATGCTGTGAACTTTCCACCCTTATGCCTTGGCCTCCTGAGGAGCTGGGATTGCCCCCATCAGCCTCTCTAAAACACTGCCTTTAAAATGGAGTGAGTTTAGAATTCTGTATGCAACTTCATGATGGAGATGGAGTGATTTGACAGTCTTGGGCCAGATAGCTGGCCTTATATTGTTTACACAGTCCTCTGGCCTCTGTGAAGTTGTGATGGGGCAGAATAAGGCTTCTGTCCTCTGCCCCAGCCAATGTTGTCTTGACATGTGACAGTTCCTCTGTAAACCTCCCCCACCCTGAGTCCCCCGGGGACAGAAAGCTAAATGAGAACAGGGGCTGAGCCCAAGGTTCCAGGATCAGTGGCATACAGCAAGAGCTTTGTAAATGTTTGTTGGGTGGACAAATGATGGTAATTATCTCCACTGCTTATTGAGTCCTTGTGAGCCAAGCCCTGGGCTAGACCTTTAGTATATATTATCTCTGATATGCACTACAGCCACAAGAGATTGACATTAGTGTCTTTGTCCTGTAGGCTGCAAAATTAGCTCAGAAAGGCAAGATCACTTGCTGAAGATCACACAGTAATAGCAGAGAGTTCTGGGTAGACACACTTACAAAGCCTCAAGGCCCTGTCCAGCCTAGTACACTGCTCCTCCCAACCTTGGCACTCTTTGTTCTCTTTTTTTCTGGTGGTACAAACACACAATTCTTTGAATGTTCTAACCATCTCTCAAATCAGGTCCCTCCTCTCTCTGCTGCTGGGGCTGTCCAAGACTGTATCACTCTTCACTAGGATTGACCTCTGACTGGGGTGGATTCCCATCTCTGGCTTTGCCCCCTCCAGCAACCTTCCACTCAGCTACTGGAGAAGGCATCCTAAGGTGAGATGCTCCACGCTGCTCCATGCTGCTCCATGTCATCCTGGTTCTCTTCCAGTACTCTCTGCTCAGACAGAGCACAGGGACTGTCCCTGGGCCACCCAGGCACTGACCTCTGCCCTGCAGTAGTGTCACAATAGGCCATGTTCTGAAGGCTCAGCTGCCATCCTGTGGCCACACTGCAGGTGGCAAAACCCTTAAGAGTTAGGGCCTGCTGGGTACTAAGCATGAAGCCCCAAGGGAATAGTGGGACCCCAGTCCTATCCTCTTCTTTCTGACTTTCAAGCCCTGAGATGAGTGCCTTCAATCTTCTGCCAGTTCCCAACCATGATATACTGCCATAGCTTCAAAAGCAACAGTCATTTCTTCATAGACTGGAACCTCCAAATTCATGTTGTCTCTCTTTTTTTTTTTCCATGTTCTCTTCATAAGCTGGTTGTCTTGGGTATTCAATAAAGCAACGGAAAGCAGATTTGAGCATCCTCTTTGCTTTCCTTCCTCACAAGCTCCTGGAGGGTAGGGTCTGGGTTTTATTTATCTTCTGTGCTTAGAAGCCTGGTTACTGCTTGACATGCAGAAGGTGTTCAGAAACTGTTGAGACCTTTTGACCTTACCCCCTGGCTCTCTGAAACACTACCCTTTGGCCCCATCCTCGCCAATCCTCTAGATAGCCATAGTCCAGCCCTCCAACTCTCCCTCACCTTGACATAGCCTCTCTGCTCCCTGTCTTTGTCATTGTCTCCAACCCCCGACTCTACCTCTCCTTCTCCTACCCCCTCTCCCTTCTCTTCTCTTCTCTTCTTGAGAGCTGTCTCACTAGGTAGCCTTGGCTGGCCTGGAACTCACTTAGGAGACCAGATTGATCTTGACATGATCCTTTGGCCTTTTCCTCCTGTGTGCTGGGTTTCCAGGCCTGTGCCACCATGCCCTAACCCCAGGTGTTATTTACTCATCAAGCAGGACAGGTATCCTCTGTCCCAAATCCAGAGGCTCTGGCTGTAAGGCACTCTTTGCAGCACTTCAGTTTGTAGCAGCCACGGCTTTATAAAGCGCTCATGCCCAGAAAAAAAAATCTATATGCCCTGGGAGAGAAGGCAGCAAGAGTGGGAAGGCCCTTTATGGGATGTCAACCACCAATAGGTCACACTCATGTGGTTGTGACCTCAAGCCTGTGTCTTTCAGAAGGAAACTGTCTTCTTCCCAACATCACATTCCCAAGACAAGAGTTTGATTCAAAGCATCCTCTTCAAGGGCACCCAGGTTATAGAAGCCATGTCTGCTAGCAGGACAGAGGACAAGCGCCTCCTTGATGTAATCCCCGCTGAATACAGGATAAAAGGCTAGAAGGGCCCTTCATAAGAACACTGTCTTTCAACCCACCCCAGCTTTTTGTTGTGTGCTTTAAAAAATTATCTATTTTTAGCTTATGTGTGTGTGTGTGTTTTGCCTGCATCTATGTGCATGTACCAGATATGTTCTTGGTGCCATGGAGCCAGAAGGAGGTATCAGATCCCCCAGAAAAGGAGTTGCAGATAGTTTTGAGCAGTCATGTGGGTGCTGGGAATTGAACCTGGGTCCTCCACAAGAGCAGCACCCCTGTGGGGGAGGAGGGTTGACCCCTGAAGTTAGATAGTGTGGGTGGAATGATGATTGACCTGGGTTCTAAACCTGACTCCTTATTGATACCTTGCAGGATTTTGGGCCTCTTCAGTCTACTTCCTGAGACTCGGTTTCCCCTTGGGTGAAATGAAAACTGAATTAGCATTAGCAATCTGGAAAGCTTCTTAGATGACTCAGTTGGCTAAAAGGACAGAGATCCTCTTCACAATGAAAGTGGGGTGCTATGTGGGAAGGAACTCTCCCTCCAGGCTATGGAGAGGCAGAGTTGGGGGAAGGGGTTCAGGGAGATATTATCAGGTAACTGGCAATCTCACACTCCAGAAGAGAAATGAGAAGACTAGCCAAGCCCTATGCCCTGTGCTTGCATATTAGCTCTTAGGTGCTAGGCGCTGGGGGCTCGAAGTGGCACTCAGTAGGTTGGGTAGGGACATTCAGAGACCTGTCCCAGTGTGGTCCAGACCATAGGACCTCCCCCTGTGCTCTGGGCCCGCTTATGCAGGGAACAGGAAGAAGCACCGGCCCTAGTTCCCAGAGTGGGAGAAAGGGGTGGCCACCAGGACAGAGGGAGAGCAGGGGATTGGCAGCGGCTGTGGGCAGGGCCGGTTCGGACAAGGGCGGAGTCAACTTGTACACGTGAAAAACTCTGGCTGGGGCCCGGGCTTTTGCCTTCCTCCTCCTCCTCCTCTTACCCACCTTCCAGCACCCCTCCCTTCTCCCTCCTCCCGCAGCTCAGGTTGCCGCTTCTTTGGGGGCAACTGCTCACCTTTCCAGAGCCGGGAAGAGCCAGGGTCCCGAGTAGGGACCCCGGCGGGGCGCTGGGCGCGGGGCAGGGCACCCAAGCCTGGTAGGGCGGCCGCGGCGGGTGAGAGCCTGCTCGCCACAACCGGGACACGAGCAGAGTCCAGGCGGCGGCCGGAGAGGGGCACCGCGCCGGGCAAGCTGAGCAAAGGTAAGCCGGCGGCCCTTAAAGGGGCCGTCTGCCTTTGCGCTGGAGAGAGACATTTGGGCAAAATTCCCGAGCTGCCATAGGCGACGGACGATCGACCGGTGCGCTTGTGTTTTGGGTGGGGTGGTGGTGGTGAAGGATGCCCTGGGAAAGCCACTCCCAAGTTCCAGGTGCTGAGGCAGAACGCGTGCCCCGTGGGGACGGTCAGTCGGAGACTCCCTTTGGCCCCGGGTTCCATGGAACCCTACAAAAGCAAAAGTTCCCACCCAGGCGCAAGCCAGACGCTAAGTGCCTTCCTTATGGGAAGGACAAGGGTCAGGAGCCCGGATAACGAAGGGACTCAGAAGTGTAGGGCCACATTGCTACCTGGTAGGGCTTGCTGGGCTTTAGTGAACTTTCCAGCTCCACAGGCCATTGGTGGTAGGCCAGAGACCTGGGGAAAACTGAGGACAGGTGGCAGGTCCCAGCGTTGGCTCTGTGGTGAATAGGGTCGCTACGGAATGTATCTCTTCCCTCTTGGGGAATGTCCAGAGAAGCAATGATCCTCCCCTCTTTATCAGCTGTGGACAGTGGCTGATTGGGTGTGGAAAAGAAGGGTTGGTGGCCGTGGTCTCAGAAGGCATGGTCTGACTGCTGTGTTTGGAGGACACAAACAGGACTCTGAAAGCAAGGTTGTTCAGTGGCCCTGTTCCACCCTGTTGGGGGACAGGCCCCTGGCATCTGCAGGCCTTGTGGTTGTTTTTCCACACTGAGGGGTCAACACTCCTCTAGGCCCGGTGGGTAGAACTGTGGGTGAAAGGCGGTCCTCAGAACCTTCTGAGCTTGGGCTGCTGCTGTCGCAGCTTCTCTTTCCCATCCCAGCTCTGCCCTCAGCACCCTTCCCCAGCTTATCCAGCTGTGGATTGTGGCCTGCGCCCTGTGATTCACAAACACTACCTGCTGACTCCCACTACTTCAGATGAGATTCAGCATAGAAACACAGTACATAGTGAGGTGGGGTAGGGGCCTGGGAAGCCAAATCCTTGCATCCTAAGAACTCTTGTCTTTATCATGCCTTGGGCCTGGATATATCTTCTGGGGTGTGGCCAGCAGTCAGCTGTGGCTGTGGGCTAGAGAGAGGTTCCCTTTACCCCAGCCAGGCTCCATCTTCAATCCTTGCTGTGTGCCGAGCAAGGTGTCATAATAATGTCATGATATTCCATGCGTGTTAGCATCACCATTTCACTAGCCAGGGAACAGACACTGGGATGAATGTTCCCAGGGTGATGTCGAGGTGTGACCCAGTCTACTTCTATCTGACCCCAAGCTTGCTCTTAAGCCCTGTGCCATCTCAGGAAGGAAGGATGGGCTAGTTCTCCCATGTAATCAGGCTTCCCAGTCCTGTTCCAGGCCTAACCAGGATTTACAAGAGGGACAAAGATCTGGAAAACAAGTAAATTCTTAGTCTGGGATTGTGCAGGGAGGGGATCCCTGCCCTGGGATCCAGTGGGAATGGGGCCGTGTGTCTCTACAGCCATGTGTTCTCTGCTGGCAAATCCATCCTGCTCCCGGGAGGAGGGAGGAAGAGGCTCCACTTTGTAAGGAAGAGCCTGCCTTGGGTCTTTTGATTCCTGCCTTGCTCTAGCCTTCCCTTCTGCTCCTCCTCCTTCTCCCCCTCCCCCTCTGATTCCTTTACTTCCCTAACTGAGTTTGGAACCTGGAGGGAGGAAGAATGGCCAAACCTTGACCATTAACTTGAATCCACATCCTACTCCTGTTGATTCTGTGGCTCCCAGCAAAATCCTGAACTTCTTCAGTGTTCTGTGTGGAGAGGAGCAGCTTCTGATAGGGAGGGCTGTTATTGTATAACACATGGAAGCTGAGGTGATTGTGGGGTGGTAAGGCAGGATTGGTTGGGGAAGGCAATGTCTCAGGGATGCCCTGAGACTAACTCTGGGATGGAAGACAGTGGAACCCCATTAAGCCAAGGCCTTAGCTAGAAGTTTTGTCTTTGGGTGGAAAGGAGGGTTCTCTGTAGAGAATGGGGAAGCTGAATGGAAACATGGCAGGAGGGACCATCAGTCTGCTAGGTTTACCTTTCAGGTACCAATGGGTCAGGAGCTGCAGGACTCTAGCGCTTTGGCAGGACCCTGCCCTTGGGGTGAGAGGACCCTTTCCTGCTACTTAATTATTTGCAGTTCCTGTTCTGCTCTGCTATCCATGAGGGACTGGCTGGCTGAGTTCCAGACCTACCTGCTTAGCCTCACTCCTTCAGGAGTAAGTCACATTTCTTTCCCAGCGTTGTGCGTCCCCCAGTAACCCTTTCCCTCTTCATCCCTGGACCCTTCACCTTCGCTCTCTAGGCATTTGCTGCTGAGCAGGCACTTTCCCATCTCAGAGGGTAGGAACATACCAAGGTTAGCACTGCTCCTACAACTGCATGTGCTCACGAGCACACACACACACACACACACACATATATATACACACACACACACACACACACACAGCTCTCTGGTGGCCAGAGGCCCAGGATTACTATAGGTCTGGTGGCCAAGCCTGGCAAGAACCAGCCTGTGGTATAGCATCAGGGGGAAGGAGGGAGAATGTGAATGCATTTCAGCCTGATCTGGCTGCAGGAGCCATGTGCTTCTGATGTTCCCAAGGCCCTGTCTGCTGAGGAGGTAGGGTCAGGAGGCAAGTCTAGGTTTGGCTCTGAACTAAAAAGGCTCACAAAGCAGGACCCTGATAAGTCAGGACTCTGCCATGGAAGACATTGCCCAAATTTTGGAAGGGACTGTGGTGATACATACCATCTTCCTGGGTAGGCACATGCTGAATATACTCTGCCCCCTTTTGATGCAGGGTCTCTCTACATAGCCCTGGCTGCCCTCAAACTCGATATGTAGATCATGCTGGCTTTGAACTTACATAGTTCCACTTGCCTCTACCTCCCAAATGCTATGACTATAGATGAAGGTCACCATGGCCAGCTGACCCTTCTTCCTTTTTTTTTTTTTTAAAGTATGTGTATTTAAGCCAGAGATTGATATCATCAGATGTCTTTTCTATCATGTTTCACCTAAAAACAAAAACAAAACAAAACAAACAAAAACCACTTTTCTTTTCTTGAGACAGAGTCTCTTGCTGAGGCTGGAGCTCAGCCTTTTCCCTGTCTTTGGATTTCCCTGTTTCTGCCGCCTAATGATGAGGTTAACAAGGCTGCATGGTTGTGCCTGGCTTTTCTATAGATACTGGGGATTTGAACTCATGTCTTCTCTCTTTCCCATGAAACAGGTGAAGTAGAAAGAGTGGTCCAAAAGAATTGATTTATTTTTCTCCTTCACTATTTATAAGCACATGTCTTTTGTTGGCTGCTGGTGGAAGCCCAAGCTCAGTGCATAATCCTGCCCCAGCCGCTCAATAGCTGGTTGCCTTTGGGTAAGCAATTTGCTCCCCATGAGCTTCAGCCTACCAACTTTAAGATGGTTCGTGTGGTTTTGAGGGTTGCAGTGAGATCATGTCTTGCAAATGCCTTCGCCTCTTGCCTGACCTGATGTCATTATGGAGGAGTGATGGTGAATGGAGTTGCTAGGCCTGCGCTTGAATCTTTGCTTAAAGGCAGGATCTCAGGACTCAGTCCTCGAGGTAGGAGGAGGATTCTCTTACAGTATTCCTTGCCTCACTTTGAACACCTGCTCTCTTATTATCACAAGATTTTCTGAGATAGCTCCAGAATGATTTTTGCCTGTACACTTTAAACCACTCCCTCTTCTGTCTGGGGAACCAAGGCTTCTTTCCTCTGGTACCAGCCACCCAGCAAAGAAAACTCTTGCAGGGTATCTAGACCTAGGGGACATAGCCATCCCTTCTATGTGCTGGTGAGATTCACTGCCTGGAAGCAGGCATGTGGCTGGAGGGCAGGGTCTCCAGTCTAGGTATGGCCAGCCAGGAGGTCACAGAGCCTTTTTCTTATCTAACTGTTGAGTTTATGTGGGGTGCTGCATTCTGAGCTGATTCCCTCATGAGGCCTCATCGACAAGCAAGGCAGCCAGAGGGGGACCCTCTGGTACCCAGTAGCTCTGGGGAGCAGAAAGGACATTGAACTCTGTATCATGAGCTCGCTTCTAGTTTCAGCTCTGCCTGCCACTCTGAGGAGTCTTGGGCAGATAAGTTTCTTTCTTAGTCTTATCTTTTGCCTTGCTAAATAGAAGGGATTTCCTTTTTAAAAATATTTATTTATTTTTATGCATGTGAGTAATCTGTTTTCACACACACCTAGAAGAACTCAGATCTCATTACAGATGGTTGTGAGCTACCATGTGGTTGGCAGGAATTGAACTCAGGACCTCTGAAAGAGCAACCAATACTCTTAACTACTGAGCCATCTCTCCAGCCCCAGACCAGGGATTTCTAAACCCCATCAAGCCTGCTGTCTTATGCCTTCATCTTTTGTGGGTAAGCTGTGTTGTGGGGTTCCAGGAGAATCTTAGCCTTGCAACCTTCCAAACTTCATAGCTCAGAGACTTTGCCCCACTGAAGTCTGTCTGGGCACCTCGCCCAGACTCAGAAGGGCAAGGAAACTCAAGGCCTCACCCTCAAGTCAGGTAGGAGGAGAAAAGTATTACCAAAGAAATGCTACCCAGATACTCAAGGGCAGGGGCTGTGAGCTATGGTTCCTTTCAAATCTTGCCTGATTTTGAATGGTCTATGAACTAAAAATGGTTTGTTTGTTTGTTTGTTTGTTTGTTTGTTTGTTTTGAGTCAGGGTCTTATGTATCCGAATGCTGGCCTCTAACTCACAATATAGCCCAGGGCAACCTCGAAATTCTAATCCTCCTTTCTCTTGGCATGTGTCACATTTACAGTTTCTGCAGTACTGGGATTGAACCCAAAGCCTTATGCACGCTAGGGCAAGAACTCTGCCCACTGAACTATATCTCCAGGCCTGCTTTGGCTTCTCAAGACCGCATCTTGTTATGTAGCCCCAGCTCTCTGGGAACTTGCTATGTAGACCAGATTTG